TAGTATTGATAGCTCTGCAATTAAGTATAATTTAATCCATGCAGAAATTAGCAAATACTTTAATCATTTCAGCTACATGGAGAAAGTATGTTCTCAAGCCTCTAGTTGTGAAAACATTTTCCCTCTAGCTGAGAACAGCTATGGGATCAGTCAAGGGTGTTGTTCCTCTGCCTCCTCACCAAAAGAGCCGCCCTACCAAGAGCAGAGCCATCTGGGTGAAAACTTTCATGAAAATCCATTGTCTTGGACAATTCTTTCTTTCTTCCTTATTTTTTGTTATGAAAAATATTTAAATAAGGTATTTAAAAGCCATTTTTCATCTGATTAGGCTTTCAGAGGTGTTGGCAAATGAAAGGACAATTTGCCTGTTAATCTACTCCCTGCTGCCAGAAAAGGTGGTAGGGTCTTTCTAAAAACACACACATTCACACATTGAAGCATTTACTTTGTTATGTGTTTTGAAAATTTCTTCAGGACTAGAAGTAATGAAAAATAAATTCTGGACTTGAGCTCTTATTTAACAATGCGATAAATACTTAATTCGTGGTTTCAGCCATACCTAGTGCTAAATGGAAGCATCTCCTTTCCTAAATGGTTGTTTTAATTCTGCCATGTGCCTGGAATGGTTCATCAGACAATAGCCTAAAATGTTTGGGGAGACATGAGACTGCAGTAAGAGAGGAGCATTACGATTTTTTTTCCCCCTTAAAATGAGCAGTGATAGTGGGACATCACCAGAGAACAGAGGGTGCAACTTGAGATGTTATGGTTCTGTGTGATTGATTTAGCAAGTGAATATGAGAATGAACAGGGACTTGAACTCTTCTGTAGATCATGTCTGGTAGAGTGTTATGCTTTGCTGTCCCAAGAGCAGGCTTGGGTTTCTTCAGGTCAGAAGTACATGCTGAACCATGGCCACCTTTGGTTTGGGGTTGCATTGCTGGGAGGTGCACTGGGAGTGATGCCCATGCCCTTCTCTCTTGTCTGTTGAGTCTGTCTCTACGGCTGGGAGTCCTCCCTCCTTCCTGAAGAAAGCTGTTGCCAAACAGCATGAATTCAAGGAAAGATCTAGAATGTTGGATTTCCTTTTTTTAAATTATAGGCTCTTTATATATGCATATATTAATATATTAGGTACTCTTTATTATAACATTTGTATAGCATTATTATAAGGCTGTGCAACTTTTCATGGATATCGCTAGCTTTTTTTAATCACGCTGGATAGATTAATTTTGTGCCTTATTCCAATTAATAGTGTTCTTAATATGATAAAATTCAAGTACCTTAAAAGTTTTTACGCTTTCTGTGTCAGTTCATTGTGTCTCTAAGATAATGTTTTGAGTAATGAACCAGGAGTATCATTTATGCTTTTGCATCTGGCACCTGTCCTATTTTGGTTATATTTCTGTATTAGTAAAATTCCCTGCAATGAGAATCCTGTCTCTTTTCTGTAAGAATAGTTTTCTCAGGTCTAAGAATACCTTTCCCTTTTCCTTCAAACTCAGCTTTCTGGAGTCATGCCAAGATGCCACTGGGACATAAAGTAGCAGGTTTTGAATCTGTCATCTGAGAGTTTTTTGATGTGTTTTTCATTTTTTGTGTGTGTTGTGTTTTTGGTTTTGTTTCTTTTAATACAAGACTTATGTAGAGCCGCGGTTGTTGTCACCTAACACTGAAGTTCTATAGAAGGCTGGGAAACTCCGTCGTCAATTTAATTGTAGGGGTTTTCCTTGTACTTGTAAAAAGCTGTTAAGCTTGTATGTGTTCTTAATAGGGGAGCAGTCTGTCAAAAATTTCTTTAGTCAGAAACAATATATGAAAAAGTTTTCTTCTCACTTAACTATGTAATTCTCTGAAGCTTGTGGGTGTATATCATCAGTCTTATTGTGGTATCCTTTCAGAAAGCAAATTTTCTTTTTTCTGTAGTTCTGTGGTTGAGACCACTTGCAAGCTAACACAGTATCTGGAAGTAGTAGCACGTTTGGAGAACACCTACATCTGCTGACAGGCTTGCGCAGCAATAGCCTTCCTCTCTCCTTACAGATCACTGTTTTCTTAGCAGTTGTATGTTGGGTGTTTAAAGTATAGGAGGGTTAGCTTTTTTCCTACTGATGGTTCGTCAGTGGTGGTGAAAAGAAAACAGAATATTTTAATAATGATTGTTTTTTACAAAAATTCTTTTTTCCTGCTTGCTTTTTGTTAACTTTTTATGGTAGAGCAGACTCTAAACGTGTCTGTAAATAATCCGTGTGAATAGTGTCTTACATATATTTCAGATTAATTAGGATTCCATTTTGTAGCTATTATATAATGTTGGGAAGTTTTTAGAGGTTGGCACAGTGTGAAGCTGCCATTTATCTCCAGAGATCTGGTTTTGTCATAACAGGCTGGTTACCAGCTTAAGTGTTTTCTGCTTGCACTTAGCTCTGCAAAGGCCATATAGCTAAACGAACAAACTAAACTTGCTCCTGTGGATGATCGTAGTGAAGGTGTGGTAAGAAGTCAGTTCTGCTAAGCCTGTGCAAGTGCAGTGCAGGTAGTAAGCTTGCAGTTTCTGTGAGAGTCAATGGCCAGCTTGCAATGGCCTTGCTGCAATGACAGGTGAACTACAAAGCCTCTAATCTGATTCTGATTCCAAGACAATAAAAATCAATAGAAAAAACTTTGTTGTAACTGAGACAGTTTGTCTCAAAAAGTACTTTAAGTTATGTAGCCTATTTTGACAGCAGAATCTTGTTCTGAACTTTGAAGAATCTTGAAGTCCACTGGATAGGTGCTGCACGCAGCTGTGCATCTTGGGCTTATTTTGGATTGTGTTTTCATCTTTTTGTAGGTGCTGTGGAAAGAAGACTGAGTGCTTGGCTGAGGGTTTTTTTTGAGTTATCACAGAGCCTGCTTGCCTCAGCTTATTCCATGCAGCATTCTGATCCATCTCTGCAGTGCAGGCTTAGCCACTGCACCTATTGCAGGTGGTGTTGATTTACAGAGACCCTTAAATTGTTGCTTGAAACTGAATTACCTCATGGTTGGCTCATGGTTCATTAAGGGATTGAGCAAAGAAAGGGGGCTGAGGCTGAAATTGCTTTGAAATGAATCCTGTTCAGTGCTCAGGAATGTTGCATGACGGGCGTGGTAATGGTCTGTGTCTGCAGGCTTGCAAGCACATCTGAAAATTTTGCATGGCACACTAGCAACCAAGAAGAATATTCATCTGTATATAAATATTTGCCTTCCTTACAGCAATGCTGAGGCCTCATTAATATTTGTAGAATGAGTTTAATAGAAGTACAAACAACATATTACTGGAAGGGAATGCGCTAGGCTGCTGTAACACATTCACCGATGCTGAGGAAGTTCTTCCTGCGTTTTGACAGGAGATGAATTTATAATTGTATGGAAGGCGAAAATGTGCCTTCACAGATACCCAGGATATCTTTGTAAGTGATTATTCTCTTAGTTAATTTTTACTGGATGCACAAACTCTATGCATGTCTATTTTGCAGTACCTTCATGCTGCAGTTACTACTTCAGTACATGTGGAATAGAGTCATCTTGCTTATACCAGCCATAATAGGTACATTCAATTGTTATGTGTATCAAAAATGGGATAATCTTAAGTGTCATTGGGAAAATATTATGCAGTTGTCTGTAAAGTAAATATAGGTGGGCTACACTTGTGATAACTTTAAAAAAATGTTTTGCCATGAATCTTGTGGTTCCTGTTTCTTGGAATCTCTTAGATCAAATTCTTTTTTACTTTTCCTGAGATGAGGGGGAAAAGCGAACTTGTGGTGTGAAGAGAAGTTTCTGTGAATGATTCTTCCAGCTTCTTCAGAAGCATCAATATCGTTTGGAAGACATTTGTCCCATGTACCTAGATTAGTAACATTTTATAGATACACGTGGTTTCTGATTAAGAAAATTTGAAGACTCTTTACTTCTGGAGAGAGCTGTGGGATGCTGAAGCAGGGAAGAGCCTTTGTCTTAGCTTTCCAAGTTCAGTGCAAAATCCCAGTTTTAGGGTGGGCATTATGCTAGCATGTATTCACAGAATCACAAATCCTTCTACTACTGTTTGAATGACTAACAGATCTGAAATTTAATATGTTAAGATTGTAAAGGATACATATGAAAGCTGCCATGGAGTTCACATGAACATTGTGTTTTATTTTTTTAATCTAACTTCCTCCATAACACTTCCACCATACTCCAGCCCTCTTGCTCTTACATACTTTTCTCGGAATTCTCTGTCTTTTTCTATGTTATTTTATTTCTGGGGTGGAGGAGGGTTTAAATTTTTTGCTTTGTTTCAGAAGATTCAGTGTATTGTGGGAGGTGAGGCAACACTGGTCTTGGCAGAACACCACAAAACCAAGAGAGTAATTAAATGACGCAAGCCTTTTATTATTTTTCTCTCTCAAGCTTTCTGGCACGGCTGGACATACTGATTGCAAAAGGAGGATCGGGATAAGAAACTTCTGAAGATCGCAGGCAGAATTAAAAGAGCTGTATCAGAGATTTTTTTGCTACTTTAAAGCTCTTCGCTCTCAAGTCCTGGAGTTTCTTCTTTTTCCCCTGTGAAGATGTCGTCTCTTTCATCACCCGAGATAGACATAACTGAAAGGGAGCTGCCAAGGTTTTATTTTGGTTTTGGTTTCTCTGCTCCCTTACTAATAGGATTTTTCCCACCTTCTACAGGAGGATTATCAAAGGATTAAAGAAGCTGAGTTTTTTGAGGTGTGGGAGGTAGCTGCTGTTTTTCACCTCTGGATTCTGGGACCTCCTTGGTTTGTCATTTGTTCCCTGAAGTCACTGCCTGTTCAGAAAAGGGAGAAGCTGCATAACAGATGAACTTGCATGACCATGGTTCCTTCCCTTTGCAAACTTTGTATGTGGCTGTTTGTAAAAGATAGTTTTGCATATGTAAGCATCAAATAAAGAATAGCATCCTGGGCTGGATTTAAAAGAAGCAAACTGCTTGTGTCCTGATGAAAGGATAAATTCTGTTTAAACTATAATTTAATGAAGATTGGATGTTGTTCCAGTTTTGAATTCTGGTGAAAGAAAGGAATGGTCTGATAAAGTCAGATACTCCGCCAGCCTAAACCTGCATATTCTACAGCTGAAACTGGAAGATGTCTTGGAAAAGAAATTACTTTTCTGTGGGTCGGGGGAATGTACAGGGCATGTTTACTCCACGAAATACAACCTCAATAGCACCCAGTAAAGGTCTCAGCAATGAACCAGGACAGAACAGTTGCTTCCTGAATAGTGCGCTACAGGTAAGAACACAGAATAAAAAAAATATTTATGCCTTTGTACTCTGTCTATTGCAGTATTTTCTTAGGCTTGACTACATGATTGTTTGTGGGCCTAGATAGACTAAAGCTACATTTGGAAATGCAGATCAGTTGTTATAGAACACCTTTTTTAAATTTTCAGGTTTTCCTGGTGAAATCAACAGCATTCACATAGTCATTACCTAGTGTACTTGAATCTCTTATTTGTGTAAGCTTCTAATATGTTGACCAAAGATGAAAATATACATAGAAAATTTATTCTAAAATAATAGAATATTGCATAGCTTGTAGTATGCCTACTCCTTAAAAGTAATTTTTTTTTTTTGTTGAACCAGTCAAGTTCAAGGTTTGATAATACCTATACAAGATCCTTTTTATGTAGTCCGGTTTTCTTTCTAACTGCTGCTTTGTAGTTTAGTTTAGATGATTGAGCCTTCATGTTTTGATTTAGAAGAAAAATCTTTTTCTGTGTCAAAATTTAGTGGAATGGTATGGCTGCTCTCTTGGTATTGTCATCTTTTAGATGTTTTGAATGTCTGACATTTGAGATTGAGTCCTTATGGTCGCAGGGTTTAAAGCCCTTTATCCACATCAGTTTCCATGCCTTCATATGACCTGTCTGTGTAGCACAGACTGTGTCACTGTGTTGTTGTTTTTTTTTTTCCATGGACACATTAGATTCTTGACAAACTTCAGGCTTAAAGATATCCCCCCTGATGCAAATAATACAAATAGAAATACCAGTGACCCTCAATAGGCTTAATATGCCATGAAATACAGGACTAGATACAAAAAGAACTTCTAGTAGGAAAAGAGGAGATTCCAGTGATGCACTATAATAATTGTTTCTGTTAAGTTAGAATCATAGAATAGTTTGGGCTGGAAGGGAACTTTAAAGGTCATCCAGTCCAACCCCCTGCAGTGAGTAGGGACATCTTCAACTAGATCAGAATGCCCACAGCCCCATCCAGCCTGACCTGGAATGTTTCCAGGGATGGGGCTTCTACCACCTCTCTGAGCAACCTGTTCCAGTGTTTCACCACCCTCATTGTAAACAATTTCTTCCTTGTATCTAGTCTAAGCCTACACTCCTTTAGTTTAAAACCATCACTCCTTGTCTTATTGCAAAAGGCCCTGCTACAAAGATTGCCCCTGTCTTTCTTACAGTCCCCCTTTAAGTACCGAAAGCCTCTATAAAGTCTCTTTGGAGCCTTCTCTTCTCCAGACTGAACAACCCTGACACTCTCAGCCTGTCCTCACAGGGGAGGTGCTCCAGCCCCCTGATCATATTTATGGCCCTCTGCTGGACCTGCTCCAACAGGTCCATGTCCTGTCCTTCAGGTGTGTTGACTGCACCACTCAGCTTGGTGTCATCAACTTGTCAGGTGTAATCAACAGCTGCCTCCTAATACTGAGTTACGGAACCTAGGTTAGTTCTAAGTAGCGGCTAACATTAGCTGCATGCCGTACATGAAGATGAAAGCATATGACCTGGCCTTTAGACTTCTACATAAACTGTTTTCTTCTAAAGTTCAAGAGAGATAGGATACCAAAAATACTTAGTCAAAGCCGAATTTTTAAAAAAGCAAGACAGTAATAATTTCCTAAAATACATACTTCTGGGGTTTTTATCTTAATTTTTTGACATTCAGTGTTAGTCTGAGAGGTTCTTGACTGTTTGTTGCTCCTTACTCTTTAAATATTTCTGTAAACATTCAAGATAAACTCCAAAGGCAATTCTATTGAAAAATTGGACTTATTTCTAAATGTGTTATTTTTTTGTCCTTTTGTGAGGTCTGCAGTAGTTGTTCAGGAATGTTGTGTGTAATCAGATGATTCCAAGGCTGATGTTGCCTCCCAGGCCCTTAAGTATAGGGAAAGTCTGAGTATAAACATAGTCATGAGAATTCTGAAGTTTTGGGAAACTTTATGGATTAAATGTTCAATAAACACGTTTTTAAATGTAACTTTAGGTAACATTTGTGTCTTATGGTTTAGTTAACAACTTGTGCCAGCCAGAAACACTTATTGAAAACAGCAGAACTTTTTTCAGAGTGCTAAATTTTTTCTAGCCAGTTGCTCTGGACAAACTAATCGGAAATAAGAAGTTAGATTCCTCTGTTTATGCTAAAGAAGCATTTAGCTAGTCAGATGCCAGCCTGGAGCTTGCTCCTCTGACCAGAACCTGGCAGGACACGATTTAGATCAGGGCTTCTTTCAGTGCAAACTTCTGCCTCCTGAAAGGCTGGTGTCTCTGAGGCTTACAAGAAAGTCCAGTTACTGTTAGTTGAAGCTGAAATAGCCAGCACTGACTACATTTGTATATAAAACAGCTGACTGTGAAACACCTCGGAGATCAGTATTGTTGCTGTTTTACAGATATGAATTTAGAGAATTGCCCAAGGTTGCACAGGTTTAGTGGTAAAACATAAGAATAAAACTTGGTGCTGTTACAGTGAATGTTGCCTCTTGCTGTTGCTAGCAGAATATAGGAAAGCCTACGTGCTTTATCTACTGTGACTATACCTGGCCACATACCTGGTATTACCACCATACTTGCCCTGAAAGAAAAGTGTAACTGCCCACACAGGCTAGAGTTAGACATCTGCCTGTAATCATGGCATGTAAATACACTTACTAATGATAATATTGGGCATAACGGCTTTTAGTAATTTATCGTTTTGACTTGTAAGAACTTGTTAATGTATATGCCGTTGATGCTCCGTTTTTCCGAGCATTTGGGCTTTCTGCTCAGAACAAGGAGGCTGCCTGGGAGGTGGAGGGACAGGCGAGTTTCAGCCCCCACGGTCTGTGAGGTGTCCTTGGCAGCTCTGCCCAGCCCCACAGTGGCATGATGCCAGCGCAGGGGAGCAGTCAGGGCAAGTGCTGTTTAAGCTGGCACTGCCACACGGACAAAGCAGCGAGTTTTTTAATGTAAAAGTACATGGCAAGAAATTCAGAGGATGTCCTACTGTAAATTAACATCTGTGAATGCTACAGCTAAGGAAGAAAGATGAAAATGTTAGCTTGCGGTTACATAGAAGGCATCCTGTTTTAAAAGTGATGTTCACTGTGGTTAGTGTACTTCTGTGATTATTTAACATGTGCAATTTTAATAAGAGATTTATGCACTATTTCATTTTGTATGTTCTTAAAATTGGCTATGTCCCTTTTTGCGTTTCAGGTTCTCTGGCACCTGGACATTTTTCGCCGCAGTTTCCGGCAAATCACAACACACAAATGTATGGGCGATTCTTGCATCTTCTGTGCTCTTAAGGTAAAAGTTGGAAAAAATTAAAAACAGTTTTAAAAAAAATTTAACAAAATATTTCTGATATTTGATTAATATGTGTAATCAAACTTGCATCTGGAAATTTGTGAGAGCAAAGGTAAATCTCATAGATACTGGCCCAAGACACTTGTAGTACTGTTTTTAAAATATGTTCAAGCCAATAAATTGTGAAAATACTGTAGGTAAAGTTTCAGATGCAAGGACTTTTATCAATGGAGTGCAAATCATTGTGAGTCTCCATGTTGCTTGAAAGATTAGTTCAGCCAGTAAAACATGAGTTTGCTTTGTTTTTTCTAATTTATCATTTAGTTTATAAATATCATACTGTATATACTTAGTATGCTCTTCAGAAGTTACCTTTCCTTCAGAGCTACTTTAAATGTGATCATGGAGAAGGCCATTTCACTTTAAGCTTTTCTTTTCAAAACTGTTGATTATGTAAGACTAAAAGGTATTTTCTATGTAAATATTGATGTCTGCATTAGATGGCTCATCCCTCTGTTTTAAGAAACATCACTTTTGTAGATGCAGATATAGTAACTGACTGTCATAGATGCTGCCTGGACAGTAAGACCTAGGTGCTAGCTCTGATTCAGAGTACTGTTACTTACTTGAGTAAACTGTGCAATCCTGCATGTCCATTTGTCTCTACCCATTAATTTTTGACACTTCTGGTTTTTTGTGTGCTCCTTCCTAAGTTTTGCTACTTGAAGTGCATGACTCCCTCTAACCTTGTGGGAGAAATGGATGTGATGCAAACATCATGAAAATAACCAGCTTTAATCTTCCTGAGCAGTGATTTTTTTCTTTCTGAAATTGGGACCAAGACATTTTCTTTGATCCCAAATAGGCTGTAAAATCCAACTGAATATGTAAATTCATTGTGGGAGAACTTGCTGTGTCATGAATTCTGTGTGCAGTAATGAAAAGGATATCTTATAAATATGGGGAAATGGAGAGTGCAAGGTTTAAATTAAGATCATCTGAAGTTCACAGGCAATACTTATAGTAGAATAGCTGTCTTCCTACTGTTAAGTGACTTTACAGGTGCTCTGGTAGACGCAGGCTTGAAATGAGTTATCTAGTGATTTTTTTGGACTGTTGAGTGGTTTTCCCTTGCAACAGAATAGCAAAGAGGAGACTCTTAAACATGAAAGGAGATAAATGATTTCCTTCTGAAGGGAAATTTGTCTTAAGACGTATATGTGTTGAAATGATGAGACATGATGATATTTACAGCAGTATAATCAGAAGAGTGGGTTAGGAGCAAGATAGCACATCTGAAGTGAGAAATACAGCTATCCAGACAAAGAAAAGAGGGAATATTAAATATGTCCCCTTCCTTATAGGGAAGCGGCAAGACTTAGGCATGATCTGAGTTCATTAAGCTTCAATTTGAAGCTAATTCTTGGAGTATGCCCTTGAGAATTGCCACGTGATTGTTGGAGTTCTTTGGTAGCTGAGATAGGGACAGAATGAAAAGGATTTAGGAAGTTATAATGACTGTAAGCTTTTGATGTTCTGAGCTTTAACCTAACAGCAAGATATGGCCAGGAAATACCAGGAGATCAGGCGTTTGAGTGAAAGTAGTCTGGACTGTGAGGCAGAGTTGAGAAGTTTTAATATAAAGATAATAATTAAAAGTCTTTTTCTGAATGAGAGTACTGACAAAGAGGAGGTGGGGCGGGGGAAAGATGTTATAGGAAGAAGGAGAGGGTGAACCTTTGTGGAACTGGTATTGAAAGATGAACTCTGGACAAAGATGCATCTTGGATTAGCAGTACCAGTGAGAGGAGAAAACACTACAATAAGACTGGAAGATGACAGGATAGCTGGAATATATGTATTAAAAGCAGACATTGGGTCAAAGAATCTTTAAGTTTGTTGATAAAATCCTTGCTTTTTGTGTCTTGATGGAGTGTGGAGTATGCTATTATAAACTTGGAAGTGACAGGTAGTGGCAGAATTCACAAATTGTATGCCTGCAGCCATATGCTTATTTTTTAAATTAAGCAGCCTTTGAAAAAAATTGATGCACTCTCTTCTTGCTTCTAGATATCTGCAAGGATTTTTTTGGTTTGTTTGCTATCTGAAGTTCTTACCAATGCCATGCTTAGCCAGAAGGTGTTACAACCTTGAGTTTTCAACAAAGCCAACAACATGGTACCAAATCCTCTAGTACTTTAGCACATTTTAGAGAACTTGCATCTGGATCTGATTGTGTGCAGCATTCCTATAGCTCACAAAACTCAATGCACAATGAAAAACTGAAGAAATATGTAAACAAGTAAGCAATTACCTGGACAAGTATTTCTGAATATGGGCAGTAACCAATACTTGACAAAGTAAATAAATGAAATCCAACTGGCTTTAGTCCAAACCAAAATGTTGGTGTTTTCTCTGTCTACAGTCTGTTCTTCATGGGAGATTTTGGTGTGCTCTGCCCAAGCCTATTCCAGAACTTTCAGAAAGTTTACAGATATCTATTGTAAAGCTATACAAGAGAAAAAATACATAGAAATTTGTTTGTTAGAACTTACAGAACTGTTTTACTCTTGGTTCCTTTATGTTCATCAAGCAACTCACAATTTTATGTTTTTCTCTGGGTAGTATTGTGACAAGTTTCCACCTTTATTAACTTGCGTAAAATGTTGAGGTATGTACTTGAAAACTTGTTCATATATATACTTGAAAACTTTCCCCTGTTTTTATGTTGTTATCAAGTCAAGTAATATTATAAAGGTGAGTGATAAAGGCTGTCATTTAACTGGGGTTACAAACCTTCCCTCACCCCCAAAAAAAACCTCAGTCACCAGAAACATAGGTTGCCTTGCTTGCATGCAACTGAAAAAGTAGGGATACTAAATGATAAAGGTACGCACAAGCGTTAGCCCCAGACTGTGGAGATGGTCACATTCATAAACTGCTTAAGCAGGCAGTAGGGGGGGGGGAAAGGCTGTTTAAGGTATTTACTTGTTCTCTGCTGCTCTTCCCCCCTGCCCTGTAAAAGTCTGGCTGCTGGCACATACTGTGAGTAAACTTGTCTAAGACGACTGGGATAATGTGCTTGATACGCACCTAATACTGCAAGCATCACCAAGAGCATGTGCAGCAGGATCATCCCTTCCCTTCCACCCTCCTCTCTTCCCCTGCCATAGCCCTCCTATCTGCTTTGGAAGCCTTTAACTGTTGTCCTGCCAGGGTGATGCCAGCTTAGCCTCCAGGTCTTTGACATCCTCTTTCTCTTGAATCTTGCCTTAGGCTTTGCTAAGATGAGGGAGAAGATATGGCTGGATCCAGTGGGAACACAAGAATTTGGAGCTCTATACCATGCGAAAATCTCCCATTAGGGTCTGGGGAGAGGTAATTAGCCTTGCATGCTGTCAGGTGGATCTGCCCGAAATACCTGTCCAGACCAAGCAAGGTGGAGGCAGGACATGTTTACTGTTCTCCAAAGCATGCTGACATGTTCAGATTCCAGCCTGGCCTGGGAAGGGGGCAATACTTGGGGGCAAGAGTCTATGTCATGTTCCCCCCTCCACTCCAGGT